AGGAAACTGCAAGGACTAGTCGAGGCAGTTGTCAGGAGTCGACCATGACACAAATGCACACGCACACAGAGAGAGAGAAAGAGAGAGAGAGAGAGAGAGAGAGAGAGAGAGACAGTCAGACAGACATAAGTATCAATTTTAAACAAAATGAAAATTATTCAAATAAGTAAGAATTAAGCCCATTCAAAAAGATAGGATCTGTTTAAGGCCTTTTAAAAGCAAAACAAAAACAAAAAACATACGACTCGCCTTCATTAACAGGAAAGCGCATTCTGGGGAATCTGCTAGGACAGCTACAGCAAGACTTGACCTGATTTGCTGTAAGAGAAGTCTCTAACAACTCTAAATAAACTTCTTCAAATGATCTCAGGGAGCAGAAAGGAGGTGAATTCTATTTGAGTGCCATATAGGGATTGCAAGGTAATAACCAGGGCCTCGTATCTTGCCTCAGTCATGTAATATAATCTCCTTTTGTTCTTCAAGGACAAGTCGGTCTGTTAAATTCTATACTAGTTAAAATTTGCTCAAGGATTGTATCAGGCTTTTGTCAGAACAACAATTGGGATATGTTTTCTTGGGGAGGGGGGAGCAATATTAAAGCTAGTCTTCTCTACTTTTAAGTTTTTTATTGATTTTACAGTTAAAATAGATCAACAACACATACATAAATGCAAGAGAGAAAAAGAAGACAAGAAAGAGAAAAAAATAGAAAGAAAAAGATAGAAAACAGTTTTTAACTGTTTTCTAAGTTTTTTTTTTTACCAACTTGGGATTACTGACCACTATTAAAATGAGGTTAATGGTTTACTACTGGGACCAACTACCAAAGGGAAAGAAATTAATATGGAATCACCCACCTGAATTTTAGCAGACTATTCTGATTATTGTTATGAGGAACTCTCATATGAGACTTCAACATCAGATCAGAGTGTGTTCCTTCTACCTGAATTATTCATGACTATATTTATCAGAGAGGAATATGGATTTCACTGTCCCCATATAATAATCTTTAAAGGAGAAGAGGATCTTACATATACAAGCCAAAAGAAATATTACTGAAAACAAGGGATATGGGGAAGGTGCAGTTCGTTTAGTGACTGTTCGAAATTACAATGGCATTGAAAAAAGTGACTTATGGCCATTTTTCACACTTACAACCATTGCAACATCCCCATGGTTACGCGATCAAAATTTGGGTGCTTGGCAACTAGTTCGCATTGATGACAGTTGCAGTGCCCTGGGCTCATGTGATCACCTTTTGAGACCTTCTGACAAGCAAAGTCAATGGGGAAGCCGGATTCACTTAACAACCATGCTACTAACTTAGTGTGGTTCACTTAACAACTGTGGGAAGAAAAGATAGTAAAATGGGGCAAAATTTACTTAAGAAATGTCTCACTTAGGAACAGAAATTTTGGGCTCAATTGTGGTTGTAAGCCGAGGACTACCTGTAATGCAAGTGAGTGACTGAAGTAGTGTGCGTAAGAAGCCCCTCTTATCTTCTCTGCACCACAGTGTGAAGGACAAGTGGAATTTACTACCGAGAGCCCCTTCAACTGGGGGACTCCATGCATTTTTCTAGAGCTCGCATGCTCAGAGAGACCAAAATGAGAGTTGCTGTTTCTTCCTCTTCCTGCTTCAATGCCAACTGTAACTTTCTATATCTGGAGGCAAGGAGAGGAGCTGGAGTAGTAATGCTCTTATCCTGTTCCTCTTTCAAGAGCAGCAAACCCTGGGTAGGATTAGAACTCATAAGTGTTCCTTTATTTTACTCAATTAGCTTAGCACTTATTAACTTGACAAGCACATACATCAGGTAAATGTCATTATCATCATCATCGGAATTTTTAATCCTGACACTAATCTTTTTTGAATGTATTTTCTCACCAGGGCATATATACACTCATATGTGTACACATAGATAGATAGATAGATAGATATGCCTCATGCACAGATTTACTGAGGAGAAAATCTTCAGGATTAGTTTCAGCAAGAGCTGGCAACCAAACAGATAGACAGGTAGCTGTTGACTTAAAACCACAATTGAGCCTGGAATTTCTGCTGATAAGCAAGACAGTTAAGGGAGTTTTGCTTGCCACAGTTGTTAAGTGAATCTCTGCAATTGTTTAAGTTCGTAAAACAGTTAAGTAAATCTGGCTTCCCCATTGTCATTGCTTGTCAGAAGGTCGCAAAAGGTCATCACATGACCCTGGGACATTGCAACCAACAGAAATACATGCCAGTTACTAAATGTCTGAAAATGGTCACTTTTTTTAGTGCCATTGTAACTTCAAAAGGTCACTAAACAAATGGTTGGAAGTCAAGGACTACTTGCAGTAAGAAAGATGACCATGATATGGGTTTACAGTATGTTTTGTCTCATTCTTCTTTTTCTCTTTTTTGGAAAACCATCTTAATTCATCTTCCACCTGAGAAAATATGATCAACTATTTTACTAGAGTTACCATCATTTGAACTTCATGGTTAACTTTGGTTTTGTGTTCTGTATATGTGCATTTTACGAAAAGCAGTCTTCCAAAAGGTCTAGCTCAGGGCTGTCAAACTCGTATCATCATGGCATTGTCATGTGACATATCACAACTTTTCTTCCCTTTGCTAAACCAAGTGTGGACAGCGCAGGACACATCTGGTAGGCAGGCCGTGGGTTTGACAACCCTGGTCTAGCTCCCCTTGTAAGTCTGCTATATTCATTCAGCTATTCTCTCTTCTCATTTTGGCCAATTATGTGCTGGCCAAAAAGATCACTGAATGGGATTACTTAATTACTTAAGTAAAAGAAAACAGTCGAAGACAAATGTAGCACTGGGGTTTGACAAGCCAATGACAAGGAAAGTGATTGCCTCCCCCCCCCCCCTTTAATCATTGGTCTGAAATCCATTCTCTTTATCTGTAATGCTACTCTTGAACATCACTTTATGATATGATATCTGGGTGACTTAATAATAGGCTAATTGGGGCTGTATAATACCAACAGTGTAGCAAGAATGAAGGTATTGGTTTTGGATTATGGAAAACTAGTTTCAAGTCCCTAATCCATCCCAGAATTCATTCTCATTCTCAGTTCAGCCAACCTAATAAGTTAATGTTGGGGGACAAAATTAGGAGAAGCACTATGTTCCCTCCTCCCTCCCTCCTTTTCAAAATGCAGGATATAAGTGCAATGAATATTGGGGAGGGAAAGAGTGTCATGTAATATATAATATTTCACTGATATCTGCAGGATCAATTTCAAAATATAACACAAAGGAATTGCAGCTGGATTCAATAGTACTTAAGGTGTAGAGTCTATAATATCTCAACATATATTCCATACTCTTTAATATCTCTATCAAACTGCTGGATGAAGTAATCTGGACAAGGTGCCTGAAAGATGTCAGTGAAACAAAGCTTCCTCTTTTGCCCTCTAATTCAGCAATTTGAGTACACCAATAAACTGAATTGAATTTTGACAACATGGTGCTCAACAATTGGTAGTTTTTTGATAAATTACAAAACAAACAAATAACAGAATGGGAAAAACACCCGTTAATGGAATAGAATGACAACACAGATCCAATTCTTGACTAATTATAAATAACCAGGAAAAACTATCATCTGCAAATTGTTGTTGCTGCTTCAGTTAATATTCATTTAACCTTGTAGATGTCATTCAGATTAATTTTTAGACCACAGCAAATGTTGGTATTTAGCTTTCCAATGTTAAATAATGTTGTCTGTTGCTTTCAGGGGTTAAAACAAACAGAAATTTCATGTGTTTGGTTATAGCATCTCTTCAATTTTAGAACACAGAAGATATCATTGACATATGGACTGACTGTGCTCAGTAAGAACACTCACATTATACGAAAAATAATATGAATAGCAAAGTTTTATTCAATCTCTTTCATAAGTGAAAGAGGTGTACTCTCCTTCGAAGATGGATACACATTTTCTGAATGTTTGTAACAATTACCATAGTAACATTTCTACTGGCTTCAAAAGCAAAATGCTTTATGTTACAGATCCCTTGGAGAAACAAGTGCATCTAACTGAATTACAAAATAACTGTTCATAGAACACAATGAGTGTGCAATTACATCGATTTTTTTCCTCTCAAAACTATTGACTACTACTATTAATGGGATGAAAATTCAGTATTTATTATAGTGCTTGGATAATGTGTTTTGTTAAAACCATAGTAAATCAACTTTCTCAATGGAACAAACTACACTGCATTGGCCTAAATAATTGCCTCACTGAAAAGGAAACTTTCCTCTTAAAAGATTTTTTTTCCAACAGCGGATGGCTAATCAACCTATAATATTTGCAAGCAGACGTTGTACCAATGCTGCATTTTTAAAAGATTGAGAAACTAGCAAAATTAATGGTAAAAGAAAACATCAATGCTATATCTGTGGCAGGGTTGGGATGGATTGAAATACTGAATTTAGATGGGTCACATCTTCTTCTGTAAGTATACTGACACAGATTGTGATATAACCATGCAAGAAGAGAAAGTACAGTTGTATCATTTGCCAATAATATACCGAAAAGCTTTCTTTTGGTGAGAAAGAACTATAGACACATTATGCTATATGCTAGTCTCCTAGTTGAAGTTGGAAAAATATAAAACAAATTTGACATAAAAAACACATATCTATTTGAACCCTCATCTATTTCATAGACCAGGAAAAAAGTTCAAGGAATAGTTCTTTTGTTCCATAAAGCAAAGAATTTGCTTCATGGCACACAAAAAAACCCCAATCCCACAATTTAAATAATATCTGCTAGATGTTGAAATCTAGGTTTTAAAAGAGTTGTCAAACATTTATTACTGTATGGTGTATTTTTCTACACTCCAGATAAAAAATGATTATACTCACGCTAGTTCTATAGCTTTGAAAATCACTCCTAACGGGTTCCTTGGGAGGTATATTAGGCAAAAGATCACCAGAAGGAGAAAAAAAATCCTTACAAGACGTCAGCTACATTCAACTTACTAGGAATAGGTCTAAGGACGTCAGGAATGAGAATCTCCACCAAAGCCTGGTACATCACATGGTCACAGTTACACATCCATTTCAGAATTGACTCATTTTTGCACAGAGTTATCAGCTTTGCTTTCGGAAGTCGACTTTCTATTTCACTCAGATTGCTGGTGTGAACAAATGTATTAAATGAATAAATGAAAATGCATTTACATGAAGATTAAAAAAGAACAATGGATTTCAAAGCTTTTACAAATAAAACATTCGAGATGTCTGAAACACACTTAGTTGCCCTGCGACGTTTTGTGCTGTAATGGCTGATACATGGCCTCCATAGTTTTAACCAAGCTGCACAGTTTTATGCAGCAGTGATCAAAATGGGCTTTGAATTTGGAATCATCCCATGAGAAAATAACTTGGTCCTATTTGCAGAAAATAAAATGATGTGCATGCAACTATATGCTGCAGTCCTCATAATAAAATGAAACTTTTTATTTTAATAATTTAAAAGCCAACATTCCTTTGGATGTACAAGGTAGATTTTGTTTTGTTTATTTATAAACCGAATACCCAAGGTCTAAAGTAAATACTAACCTTGGCTCAGTGATAGTAGTGCCATCAGTTGTGGTTGAGGGAGAATAGCGCCAAAAAGTCTGCCACAATTTTTCTATTAGGCTAAACTGAAGGTTCACTACAACATCCAATATTGCCTGAAAATCCAAAGCAAATATGGGTTTGCATGTTGTCTTTATTTAATGATAAATACTACGGCTGCAGTTTATAAGGTAATAAACCCCAGCAAGCTCAGTGGGACTCATTTCTGAATAAAAAATTTTCACACAGCACAATTATGCAGTGGTTGGGTCATTTGATTTGGTCATTTTCATAAAAAGACTTATTACATGGCATTCACAAGGATTAGCCTTATAATAATTTCTGATATGAAGAATATATATATATATATAAGAAAACAAATATATATATATATATATATATATATATAAGAAAACAAATATATATATATATTTTCACGGGTATTTATATGTATGGTATTTAGGTTAATATTTGGGTTCTTTTTAATCGTGTATGTTCAAGCGTTAGGCACACGATTAAAAACAACCCAAAACACAAGCCTGAGGATGGCAGATGAGATTCTGCCAAAACGTCGCTATAATAAAAGCACAAATATTAAGACGTGGGAAAATACCCGAAGAAACCTAAATAACATACATACATACATAAACCTTACACAGAAGTTCAGTAAAAATATAGGCAGTAAATGACAATGGAAAGGATGGTCTACATAAATTGATTGATGTCAGATAAGCAGTAATTTTAAAGGAGTTCCATAATTATCAACTGAGAAAGGAGACAATGTTAATGTCTAAGTTGACACTGTCCACCTGTTAACAGTTGAGTGGAGTTCTAGACAGCAGAAAGTGCTCTCTTCATAAAGTACAAAGTAATTCTTAAATCCACCACCTTCTGCAACAGAAGTGAGTAGCCTGATGTTGTCCAGGTCTTTTGGATCATTCCCTAATCCTTTGATAGTAGCTGTGCTTGATGTGCAAAGGTGAAAGTAAGTCCTAATAACAATAGCAATAGCGCTTAGACTTACATACCACTTCACAGTGCTTTACAGCCCTCTCTAAGCGGTTGACAGAGTCAGCATATTGCTCCCAACAATCAGGCTTTTCATTTTACCCACCTCAGAAGGATGGAAGGCTGAGTCAGCCTTGAGCCAGTGAGAATCGAACTGCCAAATTGCAGCCAGCAGTTAGCAGAAGTAGCCTGCAGTACTGCATTCTAACCTCTGTGCCACCATGGCTCATGGTGGTGGACTAATGGCACTCAGCTTCTCTCTCCCCACATTCTAGAACAAAGGTCTCCAAACTTGGCAACTTTAAGACTTGTGGACTTAAACATAGCTGGCTGGACAATTCTGGGAGTTGAAGTCCACAAATTTTGAAGTTGCCAAGTTTGGGGACCCCTGTTCTAGAATGTAGGTCAGGTCCCTCAACTATTCACGTTAAAATAATTGCTTCATCCAGTAATCATATAATGCTCCAGATCTTTCAGCAGTGTTCAAGACAATTTTGTTTGCAACACTGATTTTGGTTTATATCGGGAGTCTTCCATTTTGCCACTGCTTAACAATGACTGATCTTTATGATGGCAGAACTTAACATAGTGCAAGGAAGACTTTAAATAGCAAAATCAGCTGTCTATTCTTTGGCTATGCCCACAGCTTTTTAGACACACAATATGTTATGTGAACATTATTTCACTTAGCAACATTTGATTTTTTTTAGTAAACAGAAACAGAAAGGCAGACAACTGTAATGTTATATTTTAAAAGAGGGACTCAAATGTAAAATGACTTGTTTTGTAGAGTCCCTCTTCCTTACCTCACAGTGTTCTCGATAGAGACTCTGTAAAGACTTAATATCCTCAAAAGTAGTTCCATCTGGCAGCGAAGAGATTTCAACTTCTCCAAAGTCTGGAAGTGCTCGAGATGCATCTGTATCCATGACAACCCAATAGAAGAAATATATTGTGGACTTTGCCAATCATAATATAATTAAGAAAACAATGAATAATATTAAGAAATAAATACCCCAAAGGCCTATGAGTTGGATTCAAAACCAAAAGCAGAAATGTTTGGCAAGATGATGTGTAATTTAATTTGTATGCAGTTTGAATCAAGAGTCTATAATTCTAAAATCTAAATTAAATATTTTAAACAAAATAACCAAATCTGTGGAACATGTGCTGCATTCAGTGGAATAATAAAATAAATTTTGAAAGGGTGTGATTTGAAACAGGAAATACAGAGCTAGAATATGTCCAAAGAGGGAAATGTTTTTTCTAATGTGCTATTACGTTCTAACCTCTTCTATATTCAATCCATTGGAACTAGTCCAGCACTATTGGGAATTATAAAATATATTTCTGCCCATTATATATGCCAGTTTTCCAGGTATATGAACAGTGGTCTCATGCTAATCTCTTTTCCTCTAGTATAATTATATACAATTTCCCCATCTTTCCACATACAATTATATTTTATATATCATTGATCATTTTCAATGACCTCATCTACCCCATTCTAATGTATTTGAAAGTGAAGCTAAAAGTGAGTACATCACTTCAGATAAGGTCTAATCATTACAGAACAAAGCACAGCTTTTATTTCCCTTGAACTGAGAAACACATTCTAAAATTCACACAGCTAAAATTGCATTTGCTTAATTACTTCTCAATTGAGATACAGAAATAAAGTGTCTTAAAGTCACCAATTGTAATCCTTTTAGTCTCTTCTTTATGCCTATTATCATATTTGCCTTAGTTAATGACTGCAAAATAAATGGATTTGATTTGAATGTATCTTAACAGTTGCCCTCAGCCAAACTCAATATCAGACTTGATTCAGTAGAATTCCCATATATTTAGCTAAACTCTCTCTAGCCAGGATGAATTTCTTCAGAGTTATTGCCTGCAATAACAGAGGTTCACTAAAATATTACATCTGTGGCATACCCAGTTTGTCAGACTCAATGCCAGTGAAGAAAACACTATAAATTATTGAAAATATAGCCTCAAAGACAGGGAGCTTTCATTTCTTCAGGCGGTGTATCCTGGTTTGCCCTCTTCTCAGGTACGGCATCTTCTGACAGGACTACCTTACATCTCCATAAGCCAGCTTTAGCTGAGCCAAGATATTCACATTTAATTATCTCTTTCCCACTACATTTCCTCTACATTTTATTAATGTGTTGGATTTGACTCTTAAACTATGAATTGCCCAACTGAAAACAATATACAACACTCAACAGTCTTGAATATTCAAGATGGTGTTATGTGTAAGTGGTATTATTGATATAGATCAATAATTTTATAATATGTGTGAGTGTACACATGCACAAAATCAGTAGTTAAGATTGACTGATTCAGAGAATAAGTAATTCTAAAGTAGTTCATGTTGCACATATTTGTGCAAAGGGAATATTTTAGCAATAGCACTGAATATATCCTATCTACTCTTATTTTGGTTTTTTTAAAACTATATTGGGACCATCTGATTTTGTCAACTATTGTAGGAAAAGAACCTAGGAGCAGAGTTAAAAGGGGATCAGTCTAGAAATCCTACATAGCCACCACTGAACTAAATCCAACCTCCCTTGAATTCTGTTGCCCCTTATCTAACTTCAAGTAGGTGCTAACTATGACTTGAGAAACTTTCTGTGCATAGGCTTTTTAGCAATAAATCAGATTAATTGGACATGAGGACCTGATCTTTTTAGCCTGACAGCTACAGATTTTACATTCCAAACAGCGCAACCAGAAATGCCAGTACAGTTCAGCAACATCTAGAAATTTCCAGCCTTGCTTTAAATTAATCTGTCTATTTCAGAAAGTACAGTCATAGAACAGAAGAGTAAAACAGTACAACAAAAGGATGTCATTAAATGTACTTGCCCTACAAGCCTAATGAAACATTCAACACCAGTTTTGTTATCAGCTTGAAGCGAACCTATTGAATTCTCTAAAATAGTCCTATGAATTACAATGGGTTATTGAAAAAACAACAACCCTGTTCTGTATTTTAGCTAAAGATGTCCATGTTTTTTCACATACCTAAAAATTGTTGATGATGCTGACTTTGAGCAATCACAGTTTGTTCAACAGATGTGCCTGTTTGCTGACCACTTGTTGTAAAACCATCTGAGACTCCATCCACTTTCTGCATAGGTTTGTACCTAAAATATATTAAAGGCAACATAGGCAACATAGCATTTATAAGATTACTATAAGATTTTTGCCCCAGAAAAATGATTTATCTTTATATTGCTTTCAGAAATGTTTGTGAAATTTCATGAAATAAGCAGTAAAAAGATAACTCTTTTCTTCAGCTGTTCAACATAAATGTCAGCATTTGCTTTTCTATAGTTACCTCATGTAGCGTGCGTATAGGCTGGATGATTATAGACAGCTTTGAATTCTTTTAACGCTATATGGTAAGCAAGTGGATTATTAGATAATAGCAGAATTGAATTAGCTTTAATTTTTCAGTGTGGGTTCAAACTGCACATATCAATTCCCAGCATCTTCCAGCTATTTATTTAAAATGAACAGCTTGCTACCCTTCATTATGTGGATTCTCTTAATTAACATAGTAGAGCAGATTCACAGATTGACACCAGTGTGTTCCCCAAAAACACTTGGTTCTCTCTCCAGTTCTCAATTCATTGTCCACATGATCTGAAGAAGAGAAATAGCTAAGGAAAAAAAGCTCAGGAAGAAAGTTTGTTGAATGGCCCACTGGCATTTTTTTTTTACATTCCATGTGAGACCATCAAGTTCTAACCAAGTTCAGTGAAATCCTATACTTCTCCCATTCCTTCCTGAGGCAGCAACTACAGCCTTTGTTCCCTCTCAGCTAGAGCAGCATGCGCATCTTTATGACAAACACAATCATTGGAGTTAATCAGCTATTAGGCAAAAAAGATATATTTACAGTTCCAGCTTTTATATTCTCCTAGTCATTCCTTTAGGCTTAAAAGATATAATGGTGTTTATATACTTTCTTAAACTGTTCTGGTCTACCTCTGGGAAGGGAGGGCACCTATTGCTATATTCCAGGGGTGTCAAACTCGCAGCCCAAGGGCCAGATGCGTCATGTGTTGGCCACACCCCTGGTTTAGCAAAGGGGAAAAAAGTTCCAATATGCCACGTGATGACAATGTGTCATCACGAGTTTGACTATATACAGGAAAAAAAAACCTCAGGAAGTAAATCATTTTATTTTGACTACATTTGTCATCTTCAATATGTCAGAAGCCTGACATTTTAAACCTCCAACTTTTAAGATGAGGTAGTAGAAATGGAAATATTTTCCTTTCTTCTTAGTTGCTGTAGGTATTGCCCAGGATTAATGGCCTTTGCAGAATTCCTTGAGGAAGATGAGCAGTGTAGAAACATGAAATATAAATACAAAAATAAAATTCCTAATTTTGCTTTTTTTAGCCAGTGGTTAGGCGGCTTTGGTAGCCTAAACACTGAAAATACCTTCAGTGGGAAAGCATGACAAAGTGAGAGATCAGTGTCTTTGGCAATGACTTCTCCAGTGCCCCATTTCTCCCCCTTATTTAGAAGATCTTAATCTCTCTATTCTACCACCTGCAAGGGAACCCTTTTCACCAACATCACAAAATAGCATAGTGGAGATATGTAGCGGGAAAATCCAAGTAGGTAGTTTACAAATGCAGGCAAATAAATAAACAAATAAATCCCAACAAAGGCAGAAATCTAATAGGTATACAATGAATTCATAGCTCAGAGAAAGAAATCAGTATATTTTAAAACGAGTTTCAGAAAGCACAGAAACAAAACCAGTACATTGCTATAAGTGCTGTTTTAAATACAGTAGCTACAGTAGCTATGTTGACAATAACCCTGTCTCTATATCTGTCTATAAATAGTTAAAATGATAGTCATTTCATGGCAGTTTCAACCTCAAAAACATAAACTGTACTCATTTTTTCAAGAGGTTGCCTTTTCTGGTTTAATTATTCCATTTGGTAACTCAAACCATAAGTATCAATATAATATCAAACCATAAGTATCAAATAATATCAAATCAAATAACAACAGTTTTAAGACTGTAATTGTTTATCGCTATAAAGAGAATGCCAGAATTTATAAGAAAAATTAAGAAAGGGAGTTATAGTAGTTTTGCAATCAAATACTGTAATACTACCCTTTAGTACTGTAGAGTTATAGATTAGAATTATTACTCCCACGTGTTTTGTGTTAGCAAGCATTTTGAAATTTGAAAAATTGCAGCTATAGAATTGATCCTCTTCCTCCATCACCAAGTTCTCTAGCATACTTTCTCTTACTTCTTGTTTATAATCTTTTACTCTTCCTATAACCATGACACATCTTGGTCATATATTCAAAATGGTGGCCTATAAAACACCCTTATCTCAGGACTCAATCTGTGACTTTTGTCTACCCAGTCCATATAAGCTTTTCTCTATGCTGTATTGAATTCACTCAAGTTTATTTATGTTTATACTTGATTCACTGAAAACAGTTGCATTTGAGTTAATCAGGACATGATCCCTATTCTTTCCATGAATCTAATCTAAATCTGACGGAAGCAGTATTGCAATGCAAGCCTAATTCTTTTTTTATATGCATTATGGCATCACATTTATACCGAAAAAAAGGTACAAATTGCTGCTGGTCACACAGAAATAAAATCTGCTGAACTAAAGTTTAAGCATTACTAACTTGGCCTGAATTTAAGCCTTCAAGTTTACAGGCAAAAAAATAAATAAAAACATTCTACAAACATACTTAAGACATAGTGTTGTCTTGTCACAAATTCACATACCATATCTGCATAATTATTTGCATTCTGATCTATACAACTATACAATACTAGTTACAGTTGTATTGCAGAATAAATCAGACAATTTAAAAACTTCACTCTACATACAATCCAGGCTGTTGCAAAATCTGAATTTATTGTGCTTTACCTTGGTTTCTTCACAAACTATTGACATCAAATTCAGCTTAATTTTTTTTAATTTTACAAGTATGTATTTACTAACTTCACTTATTTTAGAAAACAGAATAAAAATAACCGGATGATGATTTAGATCAGTGGTTCTCAACCTGTGGTCCATGGAACCCTGGGGGTCCCTCAATGTTGTCACAGGGGGTCCGCAAAGGTTTGAAGAAATGTGATCATTTAAATTTTGAGTTAAGTCTTGGTGCACCGTGGCCTCAAAAGTTATTTAAAGGGGGTGCATGGTAAAGAAAAGGTTGAGAACCACTGATTTAGATGATTAATCAGATACCTTTTTCTGTTTAACAAAAGTCTACGGTTACTTGTTAAAACATGGAAAATGGCAACCTTCCTAGAAATGCTTTACTGCAAATGTTACAAGCTGTCCCTAGCAGTTTCTAAAAGATTCTTTGAAGAGAAGTTTATTACATGACAATTAAATCAACGTGTTAAATGAATTATTTCAAAATCCAAAGTTGTAGAGAAAAAGAGAGAGAGAGAAAAGCAGGCTGCCCAGAAAATGCCCTGCATTTGGGCTACCGTCCTCCTGTCTCTTTAAGCCAACCAGCACAGCAAAATTGGCTATAAAAGCTGAGTAGTTTTAAAAGAGGACAATTAGTGGAAGTGGGGGTGGGGGGAGGAAGAGGAGGAGAGGGATGAAATAGTGTGTTTGTGTGCGAAACTAAAGCAGCCAGAAAGGTAATTTTCTCTTAGCAGTTTTCCCAAGGAGTAGGAGGACTCACAAGAAATAGTAGGTGGAGAAGAAGTAGCAGCAGCAGTGGGGAAAACTGGAGTAGTGGTGAGTAGTGAATACAGGTAGTCCTGGACTTACGACCACAATTGAGTCCAAAATTTCTGTTGCTAAGCAAGACAATTGTTAAATGAATTTTGCCTCATTTTGACTTTTCTTGCCACAGTTGTTAAGTGAATCACGACAGTTAAATCATTAACATGACTGTTAAATGAATCCAGTTTCCCTATTGATTTTGCTTGTCAGAAGGTAGCAAAAGGCGATGATCACATGACTCAGGGACACTGCAACCATCATACATACATACCAGTTGCCAAGTGTTTGAATGTTGATCACATGACCACGATGATCACTTTTTGCAATGCCACTGTAACTTTGGTCACTAAACGAATAGTTGTAAATCGAGAACTGCCTATAATAGTTTGTGAATGTGTGTGTGTGTTGTGTGTGTATGTGTGTGTGTGTGTGTAGGGGGATGTCTAGGGATCTGCACTGTGCTGGCTCTTTTGTTTTGAGTTGAGTTATACTTAAAAGAACCTATGACAAATTGGTGGGATATCAAACAAAAAGGCGAGATATCTATAAAAAGCTGGGTTAGGAAAAAGCTGTGGTAGGAACCACAGAAATGGCTGAGAACTCAAAGTGAATCTTTTGAATTGAAGTCCTGGTTCGGCCAAGGAGCAAGTAAAAGCACTGCCTGTCTCGCACGAGGCTGAGCTAAAACTGGGGAACGCTGCGGTGGAGTCACGTGGAGGAGGAGGAGCATTCCTCAATTCAAGCTCAGCCTGAGAATGCGGAGACTGAAGCACCTCCCACTACTGGATGCTCTGAGCAGCTCATAGGAGAATAGCCAACATCCTGGCTGCAGAAACCAGACCTCTTACCAAAGCTCACACTAAACAGACATGGAGAAGGCAGAAGAGTCAGATGCTCCATTAGAAAAGGCACCTCCTTTGGTAGAGGCAGATATCCACTGTAGTTAATGCCTGTAATTAAGCTAAAGAAGGTAGATGAGCCAGAAATGGGACTAGGCTCAAATACAGTACTTGGGCCAATATCATTATATTGTGATGGTCCCATGGTAGCTTTGATCCAAACTAGTAACTACAGAAAAAATATATAATTAAATTTGCACCAAATTAATTAACTTGAAAATAAATCCAAGGACAGACTCTATTTAAAAACAAACTAACTGAGCAGAGCAGGGCAACGGCAAGCCAGGAGGCTTCAAAGATATGGTTGAAAGGGTACTGCTTATAACAGTGCATTTTAAAACACATCCCAGATTACTATTTCTAAAGGATTTTAGACAGCACTGCGACAAATAACAGAAGAGTCTGCCCCTTTTCCCAAACTGAATTAATGCTTTGTCAATGCTAATTCTTTTTCCAGTCCTGCTAAAATGAAGACATGGAAAATGAAAACAGTACAGAACAGCTGGGTTTGCTATTTTGGCTAATTTGTTCTAGCACAAAATATTTACTAACCTAGCTACTGCAATCAATGGTCCTCTTAAAGAGCACAGAATAGACCGAAGCTTTTCGAGTATTCACCACTTAATTATAGCAAAAAAGTGGCAGTCCGAAAAGAACAAATAAACTGAAATAATAAGCTGTAAAAAATAATAATAAAGTCCTAGGAACACCGAGTCCCAATCAGCATTCCTTAAAAAGAGGAGGATAATTGGGAGCTCATAACCAGAACATGCAAACAGAAATAGACTTTTATATGCAAAATTGTCACGATTGTATTGTACAAAAAACACATTTAAGAGGATTATTTGGCTAACTGGGAGAGCCTGTGTGTTTTTTCCTGGTTGACTAGGATATGCACAATATATCCTCCCCTTCTAAGGCCCAGTTTGAGAGAAAGAATACAATTGCAGCCAACTCACTGGATGAAGTGATTAACAATTGGGCAGAATTTTTCAGCCAACAGTTCAGTCCCAGTCAAAGATCTGTACTGGGGCCGGGGCTTTTTAATTTGTCCATAAATTATCTTGATATAAGAGTATGCAATGAGCTACCCAAATCTGCAGAGGTCAGAGTGGCAAAGGCCCCCAGAAGGATCTCTTAGTTTAAACTGTATCACTAATTAATCAAATGGCAATTCTAATTCAAGTGATGCACACTGGAGCAAAGACTTCAAATATAAACCGATACAATTTGAGCTGAATTTTAATTAAATGTGGGGAGGGGGGATCTTGCCGTCATACTGGATAGCTCAATGCAAATATCAGTTCAGAGTGTCGCAGCCATGAAAAAGGCAAAATTCCAGGCTCAAAAACATTTGGAAAGGGATTGAAAATAGAACTGACAGCATTGTGATGCTCATATAAAGCTACAATAAATCTGTGTCTGGAAAAGATATAAAACAAATGCAAAAGAGCAATCAAATGATTGAGTAGTTTCTTATGAGAAAAGTGTGATTGTGGGGGGAATTTTTTAGCTTGAGAGGAACAAATCAGCAAGGATATGATTGGAGGATATAAAAATATGCATAGCATGGAACACAGCAATATAATTTTTTTTCTCCTGCTTTTGAAATACTTGGGATCAGGTTCACCTAATGAAACTGAGGAGGAGATTTAGAACAATCAAAAGTACTTTTTTCACATAGGGTTTGAATAGCCTCTGGAATTCTCGTGGAAAGGAGCATTGAAATATTTCTAGCAAGGAAACAGTAGCAAGAGAAAAGTGTATCTACATCTCCAGCTTGCAATCAACCTAGAGGAATCTGAGGACAAAATAGAATGCTGGACCGGATGAACTTTGACCTGAATGAACAGGGCTATTCTTATTTTTCATGCAACTGTTGCACAGTTACATTCTGATTAACAATCACCTTTTTTTTTTAGATTGGTATCCTAAACCTAAAAGTAGAATACTTTCTATATTCATTTAAAAACAGTCTTGTTCAATCCCTGTTAGGAATGATACTCACCTAACAGTTGGGTTGGCAATATATAAACTAGGATAGTTAATTTAATACTGTATCTTTAAGAGAATGCTGTAAGTGTGACTGGCTGAGGTTCCTCCAACGGCCATAAGATGGAGCCAGAAACCTGGTTTCTTTCTTCTTGCATTTCCTGTTTTGCCGTTTTGCCTGATCGTCTTTCTGCTTGGATTACTGTGAGTTTTGCAACTGTTAGCAACTCTGTTTACTGAACTCTGTTTATGATACTTGACTTCGTTTTTGGATTATCCCTGGACTGAATTCTAACTGCTTTAACCGTGTATGATTTGGACTGTTTGTTGGACTTTGTTTACCAGTTTACTGGAAGTAAAACCTACATTTTACTATTCAGTGTATCTGTATGCTGGTTGGGTGTTATTCCTCACCACTCTCACTACGTTTCCCTGAGTGCACTCATTCTCCTAATGGGGAATACCTCAACAATCCCCATAATCACATGAAAGTTTTTGCTAAGCTGAGAGGATTCTGTAAAGATAAAATACTGAGCATATTAAGAAATTCTTTTTATAGAAAGAATAGTGTCATATATTATTATTGTGGTTGGTTGCACAGTCAACCAGATATTTACACTGAATTTGGCATTTTTATCCACCTATCAAGTTCTTCCCAAGAACCAGGGATAGTCAGACTAATATTATTAATTTCAAACAAGGCACATAATTCCTAAACAGTAACATTTCCTTTAATTTAAACATGTCTCTTAGTGATGCCACAGGCTACCTATGTAATTTGGTTTTGTTTTTTTGGCAACAATACACAAAGTTGGGGAGAAAGGATTGCTAAAACCTTGAAGATAGGCTCTGTTCAATGGTGAGAAATGTAAGCACTTAGGAAAAATTAGATGCAAAGGTACAGGGCAGTAATGCTTGCGAGGAGGATCCAAGTGCCTGGATTAAGCATGAGCCAGCAATGTGGCACTACTGCCAAGAGACCCAAAATAGTTTTGGGCTGTATCAACAGAGGCAGTTTCGAAATCACAGGCAGTGTTAGTACCACTCTTTGCTCCATTGGTCAGACTGTACCAGGAATACCATGTCCAGTTCCGATTGCTACAATATGGGTAGTCCTCACTTAACAACCATTCATTAACTTAGGTGCAAAGGACCAGCAGCTGCCTCTCAGCATGTCTTGTCAACAACAGCAGAAATAAATGGCTAGAGTTAGCTGGAAGCAGCAGAAGTAGGCAGGGCAAGATGGCCTACAGGGCAGAGATAGGAGGGAAGATAGGTGGGTGGGGGAACAGTGGAGGCAAGTGTGGCAGTGCAGGGGAAGTACGAGGTCCTTGCCTAACAATCCAACTGGGATCAGTGGACCAGCAGTTGCTAAGCAGTGCAGTCACGTCATATTTTGCTTAACAACTGCTTCATTGATGGAAATTCCAAGCCCAATTAAGGTAGTTAAGCAAGGACTATCTGTACATATCAAAAACATTCCACTTATCAAAGTCCACAATTGTTGGTCCTGTTGTTCCAGTTTATTTGTCATACAATTCAGATACTGCAATGTCCTCTCCCTACCAACATTGAAACCTACTGAATGCAAAGGACTTATTTTAAGAATACTTTACCTTTGTTTCTGCTGCATGGGTTGTTGTCTCATAGCCATATATTGCATGTCCTCTTGTAGTCGATTAAGAGGAGAGTCTGGCTTGACACGAATCCCATAGTAATGATATTTGGAATTCCCCCTTTGGGAAAAAGCAACCAACAATCAATAGACAACCACTGGGATGTTGCTGAAATAGCACAGATCCTGAGTTATATTAGCATTAAGGCTGCTTCCAAAGGAGGCAGTTCACAGAGCAATGGCTGGTATTCCAACTCTGCTGTCTAAGCAAAACAAAAGGCAACAAGTAGAAGATACCCTATGAACACAGACTCGCACACACAAATCTGAGATTTATTTAGGTTACTAATACGCTGGCCTTTCATAGCCATCCAAACAAAGCTCCCGTTTGGGATTCTAACTAGCCAGCCATGCTGAAATCCTATATTCCATAAACCCATTCACATACTCTTAAGTGTAGTCCATGGTTTCTGGAGACCATTGAGCTTGTTCACTTCTCAGAGGGACATTTAGAGAACATGAGAAAAGCAATACTAGATAAGTTTAGCATCCTGTTTCCATAGCAGCCAAAGAACTATATACAGAGAAACCATAACCTGAATGGTATAGGAAGTCAATATAAAGATATTTTTCTCATTTATTGTCCCAGGTGAAGGCAGCACTTTTTAACCTGCTTACTGTCCTGTTACAACTGACTCTCAGAATATAGCCATTATGACTTTGTCATTTATTAATAACTTGTTGGATGTGTATAATATGCTGCATAACTCTGCATGTTGGTTGTCTGGATTTGCCATCTTGTTTATTTATTCTGATGTATTTTTCTTTAACCTATTATATTTTATCCAGCTTTTCCTGTACTGCAAGCTGTCCAGAGTTAATTTGGAGTCAGATGGCATCAAAATAAATTGAATCAAATGAATAAATTTACCCTCCATAAATTGATAAATTGATACAATGCCCTCTGATACACAATGGGTTGATGTTTTCTTTAATCTATCTGCCCCATCCCCATATCTATGCCCTTATCCTCTTTCCTAGTCAGTCACTATCTATGGATATTCTTAATCATCCAGATCATGGTTGTCCCAAAGGTGTTTTTTTCCAAAAGGCAACTGGACTTTGTTTTTTTTCCCCTTTGAAAACCTTTTGTTTCTTATCCAAGAAGCTTCTTCAGTTCTGATAGTCCATCACCACTAGCTCAGGTATATCTTGAAAATGTGTTTTTGTACGTCTGCAGTGTTTCTGTTCCCAAGTATATTTTTGCATGATCCAATTTCTGTACACTACACCAACACTAGAGCCTTTCTATCATGCTCGAAGTTTATTTAAAACCACAATAACAGAAGCAGAGTTGAAAAAAATAGTTAGATCAAGATGATATTACCAAATCCAAGATATCAGTATGACTACCAATTGGCAGCATAGCCAAAGAATTTCTTAGAAAAATTATATTTTTTTAACCATGAGTTTTACCCCCCAAAACAAAAGAGATTCCAAAGAAGTGGGAAAAATACTTTACGAGATATATGGAAAAGAACTATAAGACAAACATTTTTTTAAAAAAAGTTTATATTTGTTGAAGGAAATTGAGTTGGGATGTGAATGAATTCTTTACATTCGCTATTCTAGTTGCACCTGAATTGATCTTCTGAATGAAAAATGAAAAATAAACTAATCCTAATTCTGGATAGTATACAGTGGAAGACTCATAAATAGTATGTAACAAAAAGCAATGACTTCCTAAAATTAGCACTCAGCCTCTAAAAGTAGAAAACAGTCTTGTCCTGTCTTGCCTTAGAACCTGGCCTGGACCTCTGTAGCTACTAAAACTATCATGTTAACCCTAACAAGCGCAGAAACATTTAGAGCAGGGGTGGGCAATTATGTCCTCTTTATTATCTGTGGACTTCAACTCCCAGAATTCCTGAGTCAGCATGGCTGGCTCAGAAATTCTGGGAATTGAAGTCCACAGGCCGTAAAGGCACCATAGTTGCCCACTCCTGATTTAGAGGGAGGCAAAGATTGAATACCACTTTACGATATTTAAGACTTTTTGTTTGCTATAAGGAATTGCCATCAAAAACTGATTTATGTGGCTACATCAACTTGCACAGCCTAGGAGGGGAAGGAGCTAATGCAGGCCAGCAGAAAATGTGTCTATTATAGGTACTCCTCAATTTACAACCATTTGTTTAGGGATGGTCCAAAGTTACAATGACACTGAAAAATGTGACTTATGACTACTTTTCATACTTTTGACTATTACAGCATCCCCATGGGGATGCTTGGCAACTGGCATGTACTTATGCCAATTGCAGTGTCCCAGGGTCATGTGATCGTCTTTTGAAGCCCTCTAACAAAGTCCATGAGGAAACCAGATTCACTTAACAACTATGTTAAGTTGTTAACAATGTTACTAACTTAACTGCAGTGATTCACTTTAAAACTATGGCAAGAAAGATCGTAAAATGGAGCAAAATTCATTTAACAAATGTTTCACTTAGCAACAGAAATTTTGGGCTCTATTGTGGTTGCAGGTTTAGGACTACCTGTAATTAGACAATTATTCTATATGCACTGGTAGAACATTATTATTAAAAGAATCAATAGGGGTGGATAGTCCAGTTTTTTAAAGGAAGACATGTACAAGTGGCTCTCCAAGGATTTGTGACCACTGGAGTTAGGAGCAAATAATGAGATTGCAATTTGTTTATATCAAATTATTCATAAAGACTGAAGTAGGTGAATAAACTTAAAATAGCAGATGGAGTTTAATGTAATTAAATGTAACATGAGCTACACTGCAGCATAAAACCCAAGCCTCAAAAACATAAGAATGTGCTTTGAACTAGCAGTAATTATCCCCCCTTTGAGTTATGGGGAACAGTTAAGTCAACTTTTTAAAAAAACCTGTCAGGCAGCAATAAATTCTAAGACACAAATCACTACAAAAGAAACTGAAAATTACATTTCCAATAAGTGAATCTATTGTGTAGTACAAACACTTTGGGTATATTGTGCACATTTTGAGCCACTAGGTCTCAAAATAAAATAGTTGGAAAGCTGGTAAAAGTACATAAAGAGTCCCCAAATAATTAGATGTCTAAAGTATTACACTACGGAAGACCATAGCATCTATAGCTTAGAAAAAGGTCATAAAAGGGGAAATAAAAGTATGCTTAGGGTAGAAAATGCGGACAATATGTTTCTCTCTTTCTCATATTACTCGTCTGAATTACACACTAAAACAATATGCGAAAACAGTCAAGACAACTAAAAAGAAATATATTTTTACACAATAATTTTTTTACACTAATTTTTTTAAAAGTCTGTCCAAAAACAAATGCATGTAGCATATAGCTATCAATGACAACTATTCCCTAAGTGACTTTACTGCACTTGAAGACTCAATGCCATAAATACCATTTCCTCAAATTATAGTGGGAAAAGGCTTTGCGATTTGTTGATCAGACTTTGACTTGACCTAATGAGATTTCTTTTACATGTTAATGTTAGCCTCGGATGCATTACAGTTGCTCTTAGATGAAAGTACTTATACCCCAAGCCTTGATTTTCTTACACCAACCTGGTTCCCAATCTTCTGGTCCGTAGGCCCATGAAAATTGACCGTATGAGTTTTCCAAAAGAAGCAGCATTGACAGGGTCCAATTTATGCTCCTGACAGTGTCTCAGGTAATGGTTGTAGAGAGTGCTTCTGGGAAGGCTCACCCCTTCTGCTGTTTCATAGTTGTCTAAAAGCCATTGAAGCTATTTCAATTTAGGGACAAAGAAAAAAAAATAAGACAAGTTCAAAGAACAATTAAGAGGCTTCATTAGAGATTAAATAATAGTCATTGTCTGAACTAGCCCCCCTTTTCCAATTCCATGATAATTCTCTCAAGCGTAGTGTATTACTCCATTATAACTTTACAGATAATGGGGGGGAAAGCAGAATCCACTTCTGACCCCAGGCAACACTAAATACTTCAACAAAAGAACTGCAATTTCATTTAAAGTGAAATAATATATACTTGGAGAAAAAAGTGTTAGCTCTTGAGAAAATGTGAGCAATACTGAGGGTAGTTTATACAAGCCAAGAAGGAATAATATTTATGAAGTGAATAAAGTCTATGGATTGTGGGACTAGCAATTTTAAGGTTCTTGCACATTTTTACTGGAATAATAATTATATTGCTTTGTTAAAGAGCAAAATCTGCCCTTACAGATTTGTTAATTTCTCTGAAAATTTCATTTGGCCCTGTAAGCTATTTCTCTCAACGGTTTTGTTTATTTCACATGTGAAACAAGGCAGATCTATGTTTAATGTTAATAATTGCTTGTTAAGCCGTATATTTTACATACTTGTGATATACATGGAACAGAGTTCATTTATCAATGGAGAAAGCACAGGACTCAATTCCATAACTTATAAAATAGGCCACCTTTATCATGAGAGAGCACAAAACATCTTGTTTAATAGCTCTTTAGCTGTGCTTTAGCTTTAATGAAATGGAACCATTTAGAAAGGGTTAGAGTTCCTTGATTAAGCAAAAATCTAAATTTCCCAAAACAGAAAAAACATGCCATTTTTACAGAAAAGTAAAAATGGCATGTCTTCAAATAGCACCCCCTCTTTCACTTGACTCTGCAGAATTATTGTAAAGATTCAGCTGACAACAGGTGGTTCTGATGCATCTCTGTTTGGAGTGTGACTGAATCATTTAATCACAGTATCAAAAGAGACAAGGAAAAATAACACATTTTGTAGCAACATAGCCAGAATAAGGTGACATCTCAGTAAATCATGCACAGATGCAATAGAAAGCTTAGAGGTAGTATTAATTGTTGCTGCTGTTGTTATTTCTAAAAGTTCCTTCTAAAAGTTCCTTTGCCAGCAGCATCATGGAATAATATGTACGTTCATTTCTCTACTCCCAGTAGCAGCAGAGGAAAAACAATATATATCTAATCTTGGGTTTTTAATACTGATGATGCTATACAAGACTTTTTTTTATTCTTCAACAACGTTTCCTGCTTACTGTACATTAAAGCTGGGGAAACTAAATATAGCCATGAATTTATTATAAAACTCCAAGCAATCTGATGTATAAGCAGCACCCATCTCTGCTAGGTCCCTTGGAAAAGTGAATTACTGTATATAAAGCAATGGAATTTGCATTGCCTTTAGTGATGAAGTAGGGCTGTTAATTTACTCTGGTCATCAGATAATTCTGAATGTAAAAACTCCCCAAAGCAATTAAGGGTCTCTCCCTAACAATCTTGACACTTGTTAAAGTGTCACTAATGCATATGTTCCTGGCCGTTATAGAAAAAAATAATGCAAATATTGAAAACTCTAAAAAAATCAAACTGCCAGTAGAATTATACACACAGTGAAATGATTCAGGTTATTAAGTACAGGTAATCTTGGACTCTGTAAACCGCTTAAAGGGGGTTATAAAGCACAGTGAAGTGTTATATAAGTCTAAGTGTTATTGCTGATGCTTTTATTTTTCTTAATGATGGTCAGGAATTATGATGACCTTGAAAAGCCCATCATAACGAGCTTTGACATATGACAGCCCATAAACACTTCCAGCTGTTGTAAAATGTTGTGCCACTGTTCCTATGGTTACATGATTGTGATCTGGGTGTTTGGCAACCTGTTCACCTCTATGACCAGTTACCAAGCGCCATGTGATCGTGTGATGTTATGCACACGATGACATCATCCACATAGAAGGAAGCTGAATTTTTTGGGTGGGGTGCAGAAATGGAGCTCAAATCCTGAGGGAGATTTGGATTTCAGCAGGAAGGATTTCCAGTTCCTGCAGGGAGAGGCAGTGTGGTAAAGAAAGGAGTGCAGGGTGCTGTCTGACAGTGTCTATTCAGGGGCTGAAAAATCCTGTATGGATTTCGGCAGGGAGAATTTTCAATGGTCTTCCCCACCCCTCACGTGGCACCCTATACTCCTTACCTTGGATTTAGCCCATTTAATGACCTGCGGGGTTGCTTAATGACCTCAACTAGGAGTGCCAGGATTATGTTTGATGAGCAGAGCAGTCATATGACATCTTGCTTAATGACCACTTCACTCAACAACCAAGATCTTGGTTTCAATTGTGGTCGTAAGTCAAAGACAACCTGTACATCAGGCCTGGTAAAAATTCTGGCAACTATAATGAAAACTTTATGTGGAAATCAGTGTATTCAAGATCAGGGAGATAAAAACAGCTAATAAAAACAGTCACATGTTAAAATTAGAAAGGTGGATTGAAAGGAGTTCCATTTCTGACTTAGCATGCTGGGCACCTTTCCCCCATGCTGCTATAAAAGCACCACTTTAATTAAGTCAGTGGAACAGAATAATGGGTGCTATTTGCCGTTGTATAGTCAACCTGCTTATTGCAGATCATCTTTAGCAGAGATAAACCACCTCTAGGTTTCTCAACTGCTCTCTCTAATAACCCAGCAGTATGGAGTTTCCTACACAAAACAAGAATAGTTTTCGACAGTGAAAATGAAGTTTATAGTGAATAATCTGAAGGTGCCAATATACATCCCGTTAGCTTTATTGTAATTGACAATAGTATTAAAACATACAAACATGTGATTTTGTTTGCTTACTTAAAATTATTATAAACAATCTCACTGGTATCTTTCGAAATACTAACAGTTTTAGGAATGTGAGCAACGCTACACTGACAAGCTTAAAACTTTGATTATACTGCATACCAACTAAACCTTAATTGTAATTTTGCAAGAGCAGCTATTACCAACAGTTGACAATTACCGACCGAGCTTACAGTTGATAAGAAAAATTATTTACTTCCACACCACAATTCAGCAAGCTCTTTTCCATATCTTTCCCTCTGCAACTAAACACCAGTCTTTTTTGTCTCTCACATTCACTGTTACTGACCTTTTCATTCTCTGTATAGCTGATCAGAGAATCTGATCTCTAATTGCTATCAGAATGCTGATATGGAGGAAGGGAAATCATAACTGTTGTCTTCTATTAAATACACTAACAAATTGAATATGCACATCTCAAATCAGAAATCGAGAATATCCTAGTTTAATGCACATAATTCATTAAAATTAACCAGAATGGATTAAAGTATCTATGTTCTTCCTGTTTGTGCCAAAATGAAATCACTTACTTTCTGTGTTTTGCATAACCTTGCTTATGCTGAAATGCAATAGCTTGATGAGTGTGTCTGTCTGGTAAATACTGATTAATAATGACAAAAGACAAATTATGCATGTCACTTTTTTTTTCATCCTAGAAGGATCATGAAAAATAAAGCCTTCGCCTACTTTCTGGTACCTTCCTGGCAAACTTGTCTGTATAGACTTTTTGGCTATGATACCGAAATAAGTTTGCCACTGGTTTCTTTTAGGGTATATTTTCTGACTTTTCTCAATCAAGCCTGGAATCCTAGTTAAGAGCCTTGGTGGCGCAGTGGTTAGAATGCAGTATTGCAGGCTAATTCTGCTGACTGTTGATTGCCAACAGTTTGGCAGTTTGATTCTCACCGGCTCAAGGTTGACTTGGCCTTCTGTCCTTCTGAGGTTAGTAAAATGAGGACCCAGATTGTTGGGGGCAATATACTCTGTCAACCGTTTAGAGATGGCTGTAAAACACTGTGAAGTGGTATATAAGTCTAAGTGCTATTGCTAATTCCTTGGTGGTCTCCAGTTTCAGATTAGCTAGAGGTACCCCTGCTTAACTTCCCAGCCTAAACAGCTGCTTTCCCAGATAGATGATCCATCTTTAATTAATTCTAAATCTATGTCACTTGCCATAGCTATGACTGACACAGCATAGTCAAGGAATCTTCTTAAGAATGTTGCTTACAGATTTCACTGACAAAGGATCTTCTGCACTAGATTAAACAGCAAGAAGTTCTATCACAAGCAGCACAGTATTTTAAGGTAGTAACAATTAATGTAATTAATTAATGTAATTCCACATTTGAAACAACACATCAAGAATTTAACAAACAGCTGCTCTATCACATAATTATAATGGATGCAGGTCTGGAGAAATAGCAATAGCAACAGTTTATTAATAGATTAGTCTTACGACCATATGAGTAAAATGAAATTAAAGTATATGATCTGATTCCAGGATAAAGTAGATAAAATAAAATGCAGTGATAAAATACATGTGGTAACATCAAGAGTCAGTATTGCACTTAGAGAGTACCCCCATTTATTCAATGTATCGAGTTCTTAATTCAACGGACTTAATTATAAATTTAGCAATTCTGCTTATAATATATAATGAGAGCCTAGGTAGGTGGGCTTTCCATTGGGAATGATAAATACCAAAGCCTAAGGGAGGGGCAGTCAAACAAAACATGAGCAGTATTTTCAATGGCTTGGGTAGTGTACTCTCATGATATAGCAAATAGTGGAAGTGTCCATATTTGGCCCTGGAATCCAACAACGCAAATCTTTCTCTAGAATAGGCCCTTCTTAAAGATTGTTTCAAACTCATTGACAAGCATTTTTCAAGTTACAAATTTGTTCTTGGACAATTAATTTTAAAATCTATTTTTGGCCATTAACTCCATGTCAATTTGAGCACTGCTATCTAGGACTCTGTTTCAAAATTTCCCTTGCCTGGGAGACCGCTGAAAGAAAAACTCATGTTGTGATATAACTTTGGTAAGCTATATCTGAGCAAATAGGGTTTGAATAATCTCAAGCAAGAAACAAATAACTGGCAGAGGTTGATGCAGAATTAATTTATTATTACCATTAGCATTGTAGCCAATCAGAATTTTCTTGCTCAGTTGTATCCTACTGTAACTCAGGTGACACAAATAAGGAATGGAAATAAATTTAAAAACTCACAAAAAGACCAATTATTAACAATAATTTTAGGAACTAAATACAAACATAATATAGGTCTTAATAAGTCACTTAAGGTTTTGCTACTGGCACATATTCCAAAACTGTAAATTAATTGCATGATTCATTATTGTGAAATTCTGTTCCAAAACAAATCTACAACTATTTTATACAAGGGCTGATATTAAGTGAAATATTTATAATCAATAAAGATACTTTCCTTTCTACTAATTCCGAATGTTAGTTTTTCATCTTAATTCTCAGGAAAATGTACACAACAGAATAGCACAGTACAAAAATTCAATTTAAATCTAAAATGTTTTATGAAATGTAACTCTAGTCAGTGCAGCTGCTGTTTATCTCTTTAGTGCTCATGTTCTCTAAATCATAATCTAATGCTCCAGGGTGAAATACATATCACAGCAACAAGTTCATTTAGAAAAGATAGCTCTCTTCCCCACAAGACGTATGTTGGGTATGGACTAGATGGCAGACTTTTTCCGTAGTGGCCCTTGCATCACACAACATGCTTCCCTCAGAAGTGCATTGGGCTCTCTTCCTCCCTCCTTTTCCAACTCTGAAATTGATTCTAGTATTCTTTTAAACTTTTCCCCTCAATTTATTATGGTCATCCAACTTGGGTATAAACACATTCTATTTTTAAATTATGTTTAAGTTTACAAAGTAAACAAAAATCACAGTATTACAGTATCACAGTTTTATGATGCAGTTTTTGTTACAAATATTACTAATTAAAAATAATAATAAAGACAGGTGGTTCTTGATTTATATCCATTCAGTGACCATTAGATGTTACAATGAAAGTGTAAAAAGTAACTTATGACCGTTTTTCACACTTATAACTGTTGCAGCATCCCCAAGGTCACATGATCAAAATTCAGGCACCTAGCAACTTTCTGTACTTATGACAGCTGCATTGCCCAGGATGAGATGATCCCCATTCTCAAGCGGTTTCCAACAAGCAAAGTCAGTGGGGGAAGGCAGAATCACTTCACAAAAAGCCATATAATGGGACAAAATTCACTTAACAACTGTTCTGCTTAGCAACAGAAATTTGGAGTCAATTATGGTTATAAGTCAGGGATTACTTGTACATTAATATTCAATGAAAGTTAAAGAATTAATTATATATCTAATTATATAACTAAAAATAAATATTGTGTAAATTGTTTTTCAAATAGAGAAGTGTTATAGATTCCATATCTAAACAATATAAATTATTACACTAACTTGCAATGACTAGAAAATAAGGCAACTGACTTTCCAGTGTAACATTTAATAAGCAAATAGTAAGCGTGCCTAAAATGCCAAAAACTAATTGAGAACATCTACTTGAAATTATTAAAGTGCTCCAGGGCACCAACCAAACCTCTTGCTGTATTTTTCTGTGAAGGAAGATTAAAGCAAAGCTATGTTGTTGTCAGCCAATTAATTAATTAATTAAAATTTGGCCCAGCTTACTGTAGGCTCAATAGAATCAGTGGATGGAACCTAACATTTAGACCTACAGTGATCCAATCAAAATTGCTTTTGGTATCATTTTGTCAAATACTATCTGTCTGTCTGTCAAAAGAGATAACTATACTGCTCCTTATATGATACTCTATAGAAAGGCTAATGAATCCTCGAAGGAATGCTTTGCTTCAGTGAAGCTTTGAGTGATGCACCCTCATAAAATATGATTTCCAAAGGGAGAGACCCTTTTCTTCCTAATACTGAAGTGCAGGGACTTGGTCTTCTTCTGAATATCTCTCACAGCCTTTCGCTGCAGAATTCACAGGTTTTTTTTAAAAAAAAAAGGCTGAAAGGAATATTCTCTGTGGCACTGAGGAGTCTTTAAGAGGCTGAGGAAGAAAATCCAGCAACCAGTGTCAGAATTCCCACTCAGCAACCCCAGAAATGACTAGAGGTGCTACTATGCCTGCTACCAATTACCTCATTAGTCTATTGCAAAGCATGCAAGCAAATGGAGTGATGTTTTGCTTCCCACCAGCATTAACTGGTCAAATTTTCGGCCACCATGTCTTCTTCAGCCAGGAGATTTGCCCATCAATTCTGACAGCTCATCTCCTCCATAATACAATGGCCAAGCATTCTGGCCAATGGGACCTAGATGACACTGCTGGCTCACCTCTATCAGGTGTTTGGTCAATAAGACAACCTGAAACATAGTGTAAAGCCACCTACTACTGGTAGGTACATTGAAAATCTGCCAGACTGAGTGATTTCAATGAATCGTAGTTTTGAAGCTATGAAGCCCGAAAGCACTTTGACCTGGATTGGTAGAGAAGGTTAGGAGGAAACTTTTCCAACATTATTTGTTGGAAATATTCAGCCTCTGAATCTTGATAGACTCTTCAGTTCATCAAAGCAAATCTTGGTTGTTTCACACAGGCATACTTGTTTTATGCAGCATTTGTACTTGGCTCTAGAACCCCTGTCAAATACTGCACATAAATATTGAAAAGGTAGAAATTTGTTCATACTGAAATTGTTTTCTCCATTTTTCTGTACACAAATTAAAAAGCAACTTATATAGTTAAAAAAAAAACACCCACAGGGATTCAGTGGGCCAAACTGGATGGGGGCCAAAACTAAACCAATATTTGGTTAGCTATTTTATCTATTTCCTTGTCTTACTACAATACAATACAGTTGAATGGGCCAGGTTTTGCTTTCATGTAACTTAAACTGTATTTCATCAGAATTATGAGAGTTTGTGATACAATTCCTATCATGTTTGACAATAACATGAAGACCATATTAACTTCGGTGTGTTCTGACCATTACTTCTGAATTGCTTTTAGTGACTCAGGAAACTTAAAAGCAGCCTTCTAAGAGCAGAGAAATCAAATAATTTTGTGCACTAAAAATCTTGCATGAAAAAAAAAAGCTGCTATGAAAGTTCAAAAGGGGAAAAGAAAACACAGAAGCTAGGGGAGGGTGACAAAACAAAACAAGCATTTAGAAGGCAAGCAAAGCATGCAGAATAAGCAAAGGATTAGCTTACATGAAGAAGAGGCAACTTACATGGCTGTTGAGAAGAGAGCTTCTGTGAGTGGACAGACCATCAGACTTTTGCAGTGTCTCAATCGCCATTTCAATCTGATAATAGATGTCATTAAAAAAAGGGCTCAAGACAAGATAGTAATAAAAGATAACTATAGAAATGTTGATAGATTGCCCCAGTTCACAAAAAAAAAACCCTAGTTCAAAGCAGATATTTTAATTGATCACAGGCATAATGCCAAATATTTACACTAGAAAATTTTGTATCAGATTTTCTATAAAATTCTCAAGAAAGAACCCCTTTATCCCCAACTTCCAATTCAGGAAAAAGAGAGGAAGTTATGATTTTTTGCTAATCCACAATGCAAGCACCTGAGAATTGAGAGCATAGTATGCAACCCATATAAATAGATAAATATCCTGGAAATAGATATGCAGAGAATGTGAAATACTTCAGCCTAAGACGCTTGATTTCAGCAGGACTCATGCTATCTAAATATGCACAAGAATAAGCTATAAAAGTTAACTTATAGACAATATGCACTCAGCACCTCTTGCCATTATTTTTAAAAATAGTAAATAAGGAGTTTTAATTAACATTACGTTGTTAGCTATTGAGGGAGAGGAAATATTCCGGCCTTTTTAGAATACAGTTTATTTAAAAAATGAATTCAAATCTCAACCTATAATATTTTGCTACAAAAATCCCCATTAACAATCCCCACTGGTCAGTTGAAAAAAAACATACTTTGTGCTTTTAAATACAGCATATTAAGCAGCATATTAACAAAACATATGAATATCAGCTACAAGAATAGAGGACATTTGGATCCTAGCCTTAAAGTGATGTCTTTCCATAGATTGATTATATCTAAAGTCCATTTAATAAAAAAGGTTTCTATACAGCATAATATAATGGTTCTGTTATATCAAACATATTATAAAGTAAAATTTTAAATTGAAATAAAATTTCATTTTCTTTTAAATCTTTAAGAGAGAAAACAAAAGAAGCTACTGTCTTGATTCAGAGTAAAAGAAAAAGCAGTACTGAAATTAACTAATAACTGGGGATTGGAGTTCCACAAAATAAAGAAAACAATATCTTTTATTGAATGCTTTTTTCCCCCAATGAGATTGCTTAGGGTATCAGAGCATTGCTTTCTGGATAGCAAACTCTGAATTTAATAGATTTTTTAAAAAATGGAGATGTCAAGGGTTAACATTTGGATATTAATGCATGAGAAACATACGCTGTACCATTGAACTACTGATTTATATATCGAATTGATAAACTTTAATAATGTATTCTTGAAGAAACCCCACATATCTTAATATGTAGTAATCAGCTCTAAAATTTAGTGTTTCCAAAGTAATTAATAATATAAGTGGATATAAAATTCTACCAATATTTTAAACTGTTTTCTCAAAATATGGTGGCCATGTTAAAACAAAAAAATGGAAAATGGAAAAAAAAGATAAAATCCCAAAACAGAATCTCTTAAAACCAATTGGGAGGATGCAGAAAATATGGTCAGGCATGAAGCTATTTATACTACTTCTAGCAGTGGAGTATGGGGCATTCAATAAATACCCCAACATATTTACAGGATCATAATAGAGCAAAGTATTTGTTATTGTGGCTCCTGATATTTCAGGGTTTCAAAGGTAAAAATCAGCTGCTCTTTGAATCACAGCTAAACCTTTTCAGTGGCAATCCTATTTAGAGTATTTAGAGTATTAGAGTTATCTAATAAGGTATCGAAAAGGCAGAAAGGTTCTGATCTTGCTATAATACACTTCAGATTTGATCTGGGAAACAATGAACCCAATTTCCATTATACTTTCATGTAATTGGGCAAATTTCCTTACATTCTATATTCAAAGATCTAGGTACCCCTTCTCCCATTACCAAAATAAAGCATATGACCTGTTGCCTAAAACACTTCAAAGAATATGTACACTATATATGTCTATAAATCCCATACTAATAATATTAAGAATGAAAATGCAATGTTGGGTATAATTGGCTGAATTAAGGTATGGTCAATTAAATCTACTATGTGAAACTATTGCATGAATGCAATTTAATCAAATACATACACAGACACCTTAAATTGCTTTCAGGCATTATCTTTTCCCAATTTATACCAATATACTTTATACCTATAAAAATTTTTGCTATGCAAGTTGAGAGCACTGAGTTTCCAAAGTTCACTGTGGAAGAACCTCTGGGAGAAGTACAGCACATTGAAGATAGTTCTTTGAAAGCAAAGCCAATAACTATGACAAAAACCAAGAAACCTGTGATAGATCGGTTCCTTGGAACCTCTCCAGATAAAGAGAGGACAAAGATCACCCACATGTGTTCTGGACATTTGCTCCCCATGAGGAGACTGTAGAGCAGTCCGGAGATGATGGGATTAGTATCTTGCTTGCAGCTGCAGTGAAGACTTTTAAATGACACTATGTTTGCAAATCTTACTTTCTAATGTCTTTCAGAAATTGCTGGTTAACTACTTCCAGGGGAAAAAAATGGAATATTGTAACTTGTGCAATAAAAAATTGGCACTAGTTATAAATAACAATTTTCATGGGAAATAGATTGTTTTGGCTTTTGCAAGACAAAATAAAGATAATGATTTCAAAAAATGGACATTAGAGGAATGGATATCTTTAGATAGATGAAAGATTTACAAGTCTGTAGAATATTGCAAAATGTTATAACAATGAAAATATTGAAGGACTCTATAGAAAAGCAGAAAATAGTAGCCACAAAATCAACAATGTCAGTAAAGATATCTGCTTCTATGGATAGACTATGTCCAAAAGACCTTATTAAAGAAATGACAGCTGTAGAACAAATTTCACCTGACAAGACAGAGATGGTATCAAAAATGGATTTAAAATTGACAGGCTAAGAGAATACTTTAGAAAAGGATGTTTCACTAGATTTACAAAAAAAACTGGCTGATGTTTCAAAATTTAAAGAGGAAATACAAAGGACAAACCAAGAGAGTGACCTGTTGGATTTACAAAAACTTTGTGTGATGGAACAAAAAGAAATTAAGAGAAATCAAAGCATACAACAATATTTGAAGGAATTAAAGAGTCAGGCTATTAACAGGTAGTTATATAAAGTTGGTTTATTTGATGAAGGTTAAAACAAGATATATTGATACTTCTGGGTATCCTTTCTGCACTTTGCTGACATAAGACTGAAAAGATAGTGTTTATGCATTTGTTAATAGGTAACAGATAGGATAGGGTTTAAGAGATAAATGTTTGCAACCTTAGAGGGGGGTAAATTAAGACTAAATGTCTTTATAGTTGTGATAAATATTGAAAATAATTTCTTTATATTTATTTTTTCTTTTAGCATATTTTACTTTCTTCCTTCTTGCACTTTTCTACTCATTTTTATTTTCTTTAAGTATAGTTCTATTAGACTTTACTATCATAATCAAAATCCTTTGGGGAAATAAGTTATATGAATTTATATTACGCTTTCTTGTGTGTTTTTTATATTTTATAATCATATGTAGCCTTAATGATTTATATTTTATTATTTTATTACAAAGCAATATATCAAAAACATTATTTTAATTTTTTTGTACATGAATCCACATATTCTAATCCTATGAAACTTGTCAGAAGGAGGCTTTCAGCAAGGTTAGAGATTTGTTGAAGAATTATCCAAATTCATGGCTGTAAACTTACATATATGCAATCAAACCTGAATTCCTGATATTTAAGCATTCAGTGTCAAGATAGTCACAAGGTTTCTTTCAAGTTGCATACACTATTTTTGTGATTTCCAAAATTAACGCTTCAATAAATTACAGCATAGCCACAATTATTTTAATTTATAAATTTACCTTTGAATGTAACAAAGTAAAATGTGACTGTTATACTAGACTGTTATACTAGCATTAGGTATTCCTGCAGTTGCCATTCACTAGTTAGATTACTGCCTTAGGCTTTTTGGAAAAACTCTAGGTAACAATGTATTAAAAGTTTATGCAAATAAATAGTGAATGACCCACTTTTTAATGCCTCAATTCCTATCACTGAACACCAGTCTCTTAGCCACTTTTTTCGGAGTATCTTCATGATTATCAAATTCAGAAAGTTTAAATTATTTTTTTTCTAAAATATTCACAAAGGATGCTATGTTATATTCTAAGGGTGGATAGAAAGAACATTAATCTGATTTAAGGGAGAAAAGGATTGACAGAAAAGTGTGGTGATAGAGGACAAAGGGGAAGGAGGAAATGAGAAAGAGATGTTGCATTGTCAAAAGCCCTGCCAGTGTGGCCAGCAAAATGGAAATTGGGAAGTGTGTGTAGCAGGGGGTATATGTTTGACATTAAAAAAAAATCTCTCCGCCCAACTACTCCCAAGTTGGAAATAAATAGGCCAAAATAGACTGCAAAATTCAATTCTGGATTGCTTTAAAAATGTCACACATTAGCTCATATCACTGGAAAGAACTGCAGTATTTATATCTAAGCATCTTTCTCACACTACTGAGGTAGATAGTCTTTGACTTATAACCATTGTTTAGTGACCGTTCAAAGTTATATTGGCACTGGAAAAACTGACTTATAACCAGTTTTCCCACTTACAACCATTGCAGCATCCCCATGGTCACATGATCAAAATTCAGGTGCTTAGAACTGGCATGTAGTCCCAGGGACTTTCTGACCAGCAAAGTCAATAAAGAAGCCACATTCATTTAACATTCGTGTTACCAATTTAACGATTGCCCTTCACTTAACAACTGTGGCAAGAAAGATCATAAAATGGGACAAAACTCACTTAACAAATCTTGGTTAGCAATAGAAAATTTAGGCTCAAGTGTGGTCGTAAGTCAGGGACTAGCTGTAATGTGAAAAATCCTGGATTATGTGGAAAGGTGACAAGTAATGGTTTCATCTATTCTAACCATTCCCCTGCATATTCTGCCAGCTTTAAGCAAGGATTCTTGGAATTTCTTCTCTCTTCCTGCATTTTCAACCTACAGCTTACAGAAACATGTAGGCCGGGTCTTAAAAACCGGGTCTTCCTCAATTTCAGGTGGTATCACATTCTGTCGT